CAAACACACACACATAGATAGATAGATAGATAGATAGATAGACAGATAGATAGATAGATAGATAGATAGATAGATAGATAGATAGATACATTTTTTGTAAGTGTTTTACGGCTCTCGCAACTGCATTAGGTCATATGATCGCGGGGGACACATTAAACATTTTCAGTTGGTAGGACATTTGGAATTTTGTCTGGGTGGCGGCTGAAGCCTACTCTTATCAATTTTAGACCACCATGGGATCTCTAACATGCGCAACTTGCACACGGGACCTCAGAGATTTTTCGCCCTTGTCCGAAAAGACTGCGTGGTAGATTTTTCCTACCAGAAGATCAGGGGTGCGGCAGAAAGACAGCAGTAAAGAGGAGCCAAGGAGTAGCAGTAGAAAGGCTGCAGACAGAGTCAGGAGCCCAGAGGAGAAGGCAGAGGAGGTGAGGGGGTGGGGGCAGAAAGAGGAGACGAAAGTAGACGACAGAACATTGCTAGAGAGCAGGAAAGAAGGTGAAAGGAGACAATTTTAGAGAAAAAAAATCCCTCTCTGCCCGGATTCGAACCCGGGACCTTTGAATGAGAGGCGAACACCTTAACCTCTAGGCCACGAGAGCACCTAGATAGATAGATAGATAGATAGATAGATAGATAGATAGATAGATAGATAGATAGGTTTTAAGGAAATATTTTTTTTTAAGAAGAAGAACCGGTCCGAATGAATGTAACAAACAAATTACATAGAACCCATACACTTTCAGTTGAATTACCATCGAGACACGACACGAGATTGACAGCGAACTTTGGTCCCCAAAACATGGAGAGTCACTTGTAACATCTGGGTCTGTGGTCAGGGCACGCGACTCACCTCCAGATAAGAAGCTCAGAAGTAAAGATAAAGAACAGGTGAATAAATGAGTGTGGGAGTACACCAACCAAACTAGCCGTGTCTGATGCCCGAGTGCTGTTTGAAAAATGACATTTCCACGTTCCAAAATGCACCACAATTCTGTTCTAAAATGACATTGTCAAATTCTAAATTGATATTTTCAAGGGGTTTTTTTTTTTGGGGGGGGGGTAGTTTTTTGTTTTTATTTTTTGTCTTTTGTTTAGAGGTGAAGGGTACTTGTGGGGAGACAGATTATGATACATGTATACTACATAAGTAAAAGGGCGAGATACGATTGTCTTGAAGAAGAAGAAGAAGAAGAAGAAGAAGAAGAAGAAGAAGAAGAAGAAGAAGA